GTTACTTCTAAGGCTTTAATTAAATTTCTGGAAGCATGTCAATGGCACATGGGCTTAACCCTGGTAAGCTCTACCTCCACTTTTAAAAGTGATTTTTGAAAATGCTGAAAGCTATGGGAATATATATTAAGAATGCATAGCTGTCAAAATTACAGACCTCATGGGGCAAAGGAGAAAGAAAAATGGGTTGTCCAATACTGCAGTATTGGAGTGGAAGTAGAATCGTGGACTACAAAAAGTCATCTGCCAAATGATCTGGTGTCTGAATGAGCAACTGAAGAAATGTTGTGCTAATACCCTTTTGTAGCATTTCAAGTTAGAAATCCTAAAACATACCTTTCTTCTGAGTTTGAAGAGATGATCTATTTATTTTTTTTTTTCAGGAGGGGGGTGTGAGGTGTGAAATCCTGTTATTTTTCTTTTTTTTTTTTTTTTTCAAACGTCAGGGTGATGAATGTGAAAATAACTTTTCAGGCAAAATCGCTGACCTCTGGTGGATGGGTACAGAATGGAAGCAGAACAGGGGGAGCATAGCACACCCGATGTGCAGACAGCTGTGCCACCTCTGGCTGCTCCCCAGCTGTGGGGGAGCTCCCCCCTCGGCTCAGCAGGCTGAGTTATTTAACATGCCAGCTCCCTAAACCATCCCATCCAGTGAGCTCGCCTGGCCCGGGCTGGGGACCTCTGCTCGTCTGGTTTGCTTTGACTGACACAACCAGGGAGAGCTTCTGCAAGTGGCTGAATCATGGATGGAAATGGGCTATTTTGTTATAAATCTCTTGAGTGCACCCAGCAGGATGGAATACTTAACGTTGCATTGACCGCCTGAAGAGTTTACTCTGGATTTCATGTTTTTTTGGAGGGCCTTTAACCATTGCTACTTAGAAGCAAATGAAGACAGAAGAGGTGTTGTCAGCAGCCACACAACAGCCTATTTCCATTGCCTCTTGGATGAGGTCACATGAAAAGTGGGATTCCAGCCCACCTGACACTCACCAACGTGCCTACGTTGACTGTTTGAGCTGTTTCCAAGGGAAACAGCAGTGAGTGGTCCTTGTTCCCACCATTGCCTGGCTACTGCTGCACAGCAAAGGGGCTCAGGTTTGCTTGAGAGGCAAACAGAGTGGGTCACTGGTGCTTCTTTTTTATTATTTTTTTCTTTTAATGAAAAAAAAGAAACATTGTTTGTGAGATCATATCTTAAGATCCCTGGTGTTTATACATCATTCATAGCCCTGCAATTTATCCCCAGTTAATATAACAGCAAAGTTAATAGAACAACCTTTGTTTTGATTCTCTGAATGATTCACTACCCCCCTTCGTGGCTGTTTTTGTTCAAAAATAAAGAGTGGGGAAGAGAGTATATTCAAAGTACAAAGGGAGAAGATAAAAGCATCAGTCTGTTTCTGTACCTCCTACGTAATATTGCCATAGTAACGAGGAGCTGAGTGCGGCTGTTCATCACTGGATGCCGAGGTAAAGCAGACACTCTTCTTATTCAAAAGAATATTAGTAAAATACAGATTTTTTTTTTTTAAGGTGTCAATAAGAAATTAGGAAAAAATGATCTGCCTTACATAGCACACTGTAAGCTAATAATAAAGTGCCACTTTGAAAGAAGAGAGGGCAATTAAGACATTTAGCAAACATTTATAATGCTGTAAATCAGAGCGTTTTATCTTCCGCACAAAGCCATGCTGAGTTGTGAAGTGCAGTCACAGATAATATATTCTGACATTAAATTTACATGAGATCAACAGCTCTTTTTTTTTTTTTTTTTTTTTTTTTTTTTTTTTTTTTTTCTCCTGTGTAATAGATTTCTGGTGTGGTAGCTGGCTGGAGCTATTGGCAAATATTTGTAGTTCAGCATAGCCTGGCTATACTCTAATCCGGATTAAGGTATAAGTGGGTAAAGTATTTTGTGTGTTTAGGACTGCATGATGTCTGCTAGATCCTGGTGTTATTTTTTTTTTTAGCCATTAAACCACCTCCAGAGGGAATCAAATTCTGATCCAGGTGTGTGCATGAGGTAAAAATAAGTATCTCGGAAATTTCAGTGAAAAAAGTGATAGTTTGATTGCTCTCAAGAGGAACATTTGAAGGATAAAAAGTGCACTCATTTTGGTGTACTATTGCTAGTGTAATGTGCTGGCACTACTGTAACTTCTCTGTGCTTTGCAGCAAGAATTTGACATTTAACTTGTTGCATTTCCGTGTCTAATAACAGCTTTTTTTTCCTTTTTGGAAAGTCTTCTGTATTTGATCAAATAATGGATTAAAAAGAAAATCTTTTACTCTGCACATACTCTCAAAGGCCTTTCTAATTTGAAAGTTGGGGTTGTTTTTTTTTTTCCTGAAGGCTTTTTCTGCCTGCAGTGTGTTTAAAATGAAGTCTTGAAGCGTGGAGCAGAACTTTGCTAGCAGCCATGGCAGCTGCCTGGGACAAGGAGGTAGAAGTGGCTACTGAAACAGCTTTTCCCACTGTCCCCTCAAGTGCTCTCTGCCAGCCCCTCGTAGAATCATGGAATGGTTTGGGTTGGAAGGGACCTTATAGATCATCTAATGGGCAGGGACACCTCCCACTAGACCAGGTTGCTCAAAGTCCCATCCAGCCTGGCCTTGGGGTTAAAACACAACAAGAACAAGAGCTGGAGGCAACAGATCTGGGGAAAGTGGTCTGTCCTCGGAGCAGGACACTTGGAACTTTCACATTTCCTGCCTGGGAAAATTATATAGGTTCAGGTCAGAGGCAGGCTGAAGGGATGGAAAGGTTCAGCCAGGAGAAACGATGGCTGGAGACTGTCACTCGTGGAGCTGACAGAAGCAGGGACTGACTTGAGTTGAGTGCTAGCAAACCCTTGTGAAACCCAAATGTAAATGGTCTGTCCAAAGTCCTCCTGTGTTGACTCGGAGAGCAGATGACAAAGTGGCTCCACAGATGAGCTGTTTGCTCAGGTCTGTGCTGGTACCCAGCCAGTCCCACCCATGCTGGCAGCTGGTGGGGCAGGCGAGGTGACACAGGGTGCCATTTCTTTGAGAAGGCAGGAGAAAGGTTAACACTCACTTTTTCCTCTTTGAAAAAACTGTGTCACACACGTGCACGCCATCATTGTGGGGTCAAGCCCACTAGAGTTGGGCATGAAGTAATTCATCCCTCCCCCTTTATTTATGTGCACATACAGGCTTTTTATAAATAATCTCAACATCACTCACTGTTTAGGATTTGCCCCTCCTCGTGCAGCCCAGCTGTGGAGTTTGCTGTGCCTTGCCGTGGTGGGTTTTACAACAGCTCCCTGCGTTGGAGACTGGAAAATGCTGGAACCTGCCTAATTATGGAGCCTCCTGGGCTGCACGTTGGTGTGTTCTGGTTGATGTTGACCAAGTTGCCTGGTAAAAGGCTGGCAAACCCAAGCTTTTGCCTCCTGAACATATTAATGGGGGCTTTCTTGCGTTTCATCTGCTGGGGAGTCTGTGTGTGGGAAGGGAACAAATAAAGATCAAGTTGGTCTCTTTTCACAGTTTGAACAGTTGCCTGAAGTGTATTTTTATCGCTTGTCTGTAAGTAGTAAATACTTTTTTTTTTTTTTTTTTTTACTCATGGAGCTCCAGTTTCAAAAAGACCTCTTAGGTTTTCAGGGGTAGTTTTGTGGTAGTGGTGGGGGGAACTGCCCGTTTGTGTGGAGGTAGGAAACCAGGATTTGGAAGAGGGAAAATCTGTTTGTGGATTACTGTTTCTTGTCAGATTACTGCAATTAAAACAAAGAGCACATAGTTACAGTTTTAGAACCAAATGAAGGACGAGGTTCCTCTCTACCTGGTTCCTGCCCTTGTCTGAGGGAAGAGTTTTTGCGTTTTGTGCATCCTCTTTTCCTTGTCTAGTAGGCTCAGAAGAGAAGTAAAATACTCTGCCCTCAGTGTAGTCACCAGCCTGGTTGTCACATTGCCACCCTGGAAGGCAGGGGGATGTGGGTGTGCACTCCTTCATGCAGAGGAGGTGAGTGCAGTGACTACTACTAGCCTGTTACTCAAAGTTTGCCATTTCATAAGACAATTTTCATCACCAGAGAGATGACAGTGAAATGCTTCTGCTTATGAAGGAACATCGGCTTTGATAGATGGCTAAATCAATAGTTAATTCACTACAATCAATTTTAGTGAAACATCTGAGTGTAGATTTGAGAAACATTTCTTGGGTTTTTCTTTGTTATTTCAGGATTTTTTTCTTATTATTTCTCGCACCCCCACCCCCCACCCCCGCAGCCAGGGTATGAAAAATGTCAATGCACCTGTGAGAGGGCAAATCTTTGTCACTTAAGCCTCGGGTTCTGTCAGGCACTATTGAGGTGGGGTTTTGTGTTTGACTTGGACTCATGAATGCCAGTCTGTGAGCTGAACGCCTGAAAACTAGATGGGGCAACGCCAAGAGTTGCCTCACTGCAAGAGTATGCCTCTCTTGACTACCATGGATTCAGGCCCTTGCCTTAATTTATATGCGTTGTGATTCAGGTGGTTTTGCACAACAAAAATCTCTTTGTCTGTGGAGAAAATGATAAAGTACTGAGGTTCGGACTATGATGTGTATTTTCTACGGACCTTTGTTTAAATTCTTTAGAAACGGTAGACAACGTGTCACTTAACAGAAGAAGGAAGCAATGTTGACACAAGACAGTGTTGGTTTGTGTGGGTTCAACATAATATCTTATGTACAGCCAGCAATTAATCTAACACATGACTAACCAGTTAAGAACGTGAGAACACACGGGCAGATTCATACTTGGATTTAACAGTACATTTACAGTGACTTCTCAGCAGTTGTGTTTACTCGGGGCAAAATTTGGATCACGTAAAGGAAGGACAGGTCCGCCAACCTATGTGTTTGGTTATTCATCTGCTGAATGCTTTTTCTGCTTTTCCTGGTGTACGTGCCAGGATGCTGCACAGTGTAACTCAGCTTTGTGTGATGCCAGCCTTGTACTGTTTGTGTTATTTCTTTTTCTTCCAACAGCCCCCTGTTGATTTGATCCTCGTCTGTCTTGAGGCTGAATTACCCTTGGCTGGTGCTGCAGGAGGTATGGAAGCTTATGGTAAAAGATATACTACGTACAAAATATTAATCATTGCAAGTGGAGAATTGCATGAGCTTAAAAGCAGTATTAGATTGTCTTGTTCCAGAAAGTTTTCTCGTGGTTGTTTAATTGCTCCTTTATTTAGCTTTCCACACTTCTGTTGCACTATCTTCAAGCCCTTTTGATGTTGGATCAAAAGTAAACTTCAGAACTATGTTGGTAGGGAATAGATGAGTAGCCATGGACTCACAACAGTCCCTCTTCATCTAAGCTAATCTATATGCCTGTTCTATATGTCAGTGTCCATTGCAGACTAAAGATGTGAAATCAGCTCTGGGAAACTTACTGAAATGTCTCAGAATGGTGCTGCTGGGAACCTCTTTGTGGGAAGAGTCAAACGGGATGTCACTAGGGAGCTGCTGCAAGATGGAGGTGAGGGAAATAGAAAAATAGGGTTGATTTAAATAAGAGTAGCCTGAAGCTTAGGAGCATAGCACAACAACAGAATCCCTCAGTTTGTGGCACAGTTCCATTTCTCTCATAAATTTTGTACTGTCCACATGGTTCTCAGCAGCATCATCTTGCCTCTGGAGAACATGAGCACCTGCCCCATCTGTCAGCCTCGTCCTCTCTGTGGCAGGAGATCCTGTGTCATTCAGTCTTAGCTCAGTGTGGGAGTGCATTCATCTGAATCCATAGAGTAATCGGCGTTTATTCCCCTCGTGGTTCTTGACAGGACTTAAAGGTTTGTTTCGCTGCACTGCTCAGGATCCTTCCAAAACATGAGATGAGAACAGGCATGGGTGGAATTATTGCTAGTGATTTAAAGTTTCTGTCTTTAGCCCTCTCTCTTACAAAAGGCTGTCAGTGCCATAAGGTATCGGTGTGTTTCTTAGCTCCAGGCACTGTTGCTGCCTCATACTTTGAGGGTGATGGCTGCGGGGTGGGTGCCAAGGCTGCCTTCCCTTCTCCTCACCACAGTGGGTGTCTGCAGGCCTTGCTGCAGGGTGAGAGCCACCAGCATTATGCATGTTTGCTCGTGTCCTTGGTAGCAAAGGATTACTTACAACGCAAGCAGGATTCTTCCCGCTGCGAGTGGTGGGACTATTAAGCAGAGCTTTGGTGTTCAGCCAGTGAAACGGATTTTGCAAATGGGAGGAGGAAGTAGTGGTGCTTTTTGCTTGTGGTTTGGGGTGTTTTTTTTGTAACAAAACAAAGTTTCTTTTTATATGTCAGTCATTTCATTTTTGCTTGTTATCACATCTGCCTCGCTTTGCTGCTTCTTAGATACATATTAGGTATTCACCAACTTTCAAAATAAATCACTGGCTTTCTTGAGATTTCATAACAACAAACTGTACTAGTGAGAGAGATGCAAAGTTGCTCAGGAATATTTTCAGTAATGCCAGGTGTTTCTGTGAGATGGTAACTATTTTCTTTGCAGACATCAGTCTCCTGCAAACAAGAAAGATGTGTTCAGTCTTCATCCCAAATAGCACTTGCTAGGGGCAAGTGAATGTACACATTAGCTTGTACCACTGCAGAAGCACTGCTACCAAAGCTATGGCTCGTATGAATTGGGATGAGAGGATGTTTTCTGAAGGGTCTGTTTCTTGGAATGACATGTAGAAATTTGGTGAGCCCTGCAAAAGTATTGAGCTTAGCCAGAGTTGGATGCTGAACAGTTGATAGTTTAAAATAAACCAAGAAAAACCATGTTGCAGACAGAATTCACTAAATAACATCAGATTTTCCTGTGTCTGGTACATGAGTACTTTAGTTCCTCAAGCCAGAGCTGAGATCACAGGTCAAAGCAGGACAAAGCACTAACCTGTTTTGTGTTCCTGCCATTAAACAACGTGTTCCAACCCAGACCTCAAAAACGAGAGCACATCAGGAGCTTATCCTGAACCTACATGTTGTACTTGCCTGGAATGCTTGCTGTTTTCCAAGAGTTAGAGAAGGTCCAATAGATACCTTGTTTGGTCAGGTAGTGCAGCTCTTCTAGAGCAGTCTAGTTTTAGTGACACAGTAATAAAAAATTTTTAAAAGCTCATGTTTTTTTGTGTGTGATGTTTTTGTGGGTGACTTTTGTCTGTACTCTAAGAAGCACTTTGATTCCTTGATTTCCCAGTAAAATTCTTTTTCCAAATGTGCAACAGACGATCAGCAACAGTCAACCAATTAACATAGTTGACTTCTTTGTACCCAAACTTTGGACAAGCCTTGCCTACCTGTGAGCCACCAGAGCTGTTGTACTGCCACAAGCTATCCCTCCAGTCCTCTGGCTGTTGGCTATGTCCTGCAGGTCCCGAGTCATACCCACCTACCTGCTATGGATGTCCCTGATATATTAATTCCATCACATATCACATGGCAGAAGACACCTTGCATTTCAGCAGGATTTATAGGTTGTGTAGGAAGACATCTTTGTGGTTTGCTGGTGCAGCCTGCAGGATTTTGGCTGTCCAGCTCTGTTCTGGACAGCAGAAGGGTCTGTCTGCTGAGTATGCTTACTTGTCAGTAAGTATGTACGACTTCAACTTCAGTTTGCTGGAGGTGTCTGAGGACCAGAAGCAGCCTCTTGAAGTATGTGTAGTGTGGAGAAGTGTGTTACGGCCGGCTATATTCTATCTTAATTCTCATTATCAGCTTAAGTTAGCCCTGAGTTTTATACCTAGAGTAGCAACGCAGGAACATATATTGAGCCAGGGACTCAAAGCCTTAGAAACACAGTGCTCACACCACTTCTTTGTGTTTTGAAGTAGTTTGTTAGCCTGTGTTATTGCTTGATACTAGCAAATTTTAAAATATTTATGAATTAAAGCTTACATGCTCGAACAGATGTATGAATTACCTGTCTATTAGCAGGGTCTGAATTACATATTGGCAAAGACAAGCATCCCAGCAGGTATCCATTGCCACAATGGAGCAGCCCCTCTTTTTTTCTTTTTATACTGATTGATCTTTGTATGGAACAACCACAAGTAGAAGGGGACTACCAGAGATGACAAAGAGAAGAGGAGAAATAGCAAATCAGTATTTGGTGGGGAAGATGAGGAAGATATGATGAAACAAGTCCTGTGGATCAGGTAGTGCCGTTATAGCAGGTTATCTGATAAATGACACTACTGGATTTTGGGATTTCTGATCATGTAGCAATGAAATGGCTCAGTTACCCAGGGACTGGAACTCCCTGTTCAGTACACAGGTGCCAAGAGAGTTTCTGTATTGGTGGAGCACTGAGGTAATTCCTTGGTTTAGCTGGTAGGAGAATTGATTCTGATATCACTTGTGGTTATTCTACCTGTATCTTAAATTCATTCATTTATTTTTATTCTCTGTTTATGTTTGTATGGGCTAGAAAAAATTGGACTTACAGCTTAATGCTGAAAGCAGCTTTCAGAAAAACTCCTGTTGTACTGACATGCTAGGGTAAATGAGATTTTTAGGTGTGGTATCTTGCTGTTATTGTGTTATAGTGCTCATTGATTTCAACAGCTGGCAGATGAGACTCTGCAGAGGAAGGCTGGTAAGGAGTTATTTTATCATTTTCAGTATAGAGTACTTACCTGTGCATCAAACGATAGCTGACCTTATTTAGCTAAACATTAGAGGCATGGTATTCATCAGTATTTATTTGCATAATGCCATATGCAAATGTGGTATGTTGGAAGACTTTTTTTGAACCCTTCTTTAGTCAGTGTTGTGGGATACTCTCAATATTTTCTTGTGGTTAATGCTTACCTCTAGTGTTTCCTCCAACAGAGCACAGTGGGAAGTCAGCACCTGACTTCCCTGTGTCTCAGCTCATGCCCTGCTGGTAGCTAAAACAGATTTGCCTTTACTTTGAGTATCGTCATGTCATTTGCATGACAGTGACATGCAGTAGGATGGCAGCTATAATCTTGTAGTGCCAGAGATTGCCATTGTACACAGTTGAAAAGACACCATTTATTCTGCTGGAAGTGTGACTGCACTTTTCTTTCAGAAAGCTAAGTCCTACGGCTTTTCTATTTCCTCCTTTTATGGTATCTCTGAGTATACATTGATATTTGGCATATTAGCTAGCTGAAATCACTTCTGTGTACATTAAGGGAGTTAAGATCTATCCTGGGTTGAAAGACACAGGACTAACTTTTCTTCTAACGCTGGGGAAAATTACACTTCTAGAAGACTCTAGTGTCTGAATTTCTGAAAATATTTACTTTATAGCTAGCCAGGCTCTGTGGGATTCAAGGTCTTAGTGTTTTTGAACCTTGCCAGGTGCAGGGACGAGGAGGAGCAAGGCCTGGGCATTTGACCCAAGCTGGCCAACAGGATTATTTTGTACCATGAACGTCACATTCAATATAAATTAGAAAAGTTTGCTGTGTAGCTCTCTCTCCCTTGATGGTGGTGGGTCCAGACAACTCCTTGCCCCGGTGCTGGGCCCCTGAGGCCTTCCCTTCCTCCTGAAGCCATTGCGCTCACAGTGTCCGACAACTGGAGTACTGTGCCCAGTTCTGGGCTCCCCAGTTCAAGAAGGACAGGGAACTGCTGGAGAGGGTACAGCAAAGGGACACAAAGATGATTAAGGGCCTGGAGCATCTGTCCTACAAGGAGAGGCTGAGGGACTTGGGTCTTTTCAGTCTTGAGAAGAGAAGGCTTAGGGGAGATCTAATTAATGCGTACAAATACTTAAAGGGAGGGTGTCAGGAGGATGAGGATGGTCTTTTCTCAGAGGTGCCCAGTGACAGGACAAGAAGAAATGGGCACAAATTTGAGTATAAGAAGTTCCACCTAAACACAAGGAGGAACTTCTTTACTGTGAGAGTGGTAGAGCACTGGAACAGACTGCCCAGAAAGGTGGTGGAGTCTCCTTCTCTGGAGACATTAAAAACCTGCCTGGACAAGTTCCGTGCAACATGCTCTAGGTTGACCTGCTCTGATGGAGGGGTTGGACTAGATGATCTCCAGAGGTCCCTTCCAACTCTGTATGATTCTGTGATTTGCTGTCCCCT